TTGACAGCCTTTTCATGGTCAAAACCGGTTCCCATTGAGCTACGCCGCCCAAACCAAATTTTCACCTGGTTTCCCTATGCCACCTTTTTTTTTTTTTTTTTTGTATAATAAGTGCTGTGTCATGTTACTGTCAAGTCCAAGCACCTGTGTGCCCAAATCTGCACTTTGCACAGCCCGCTATAACACAACATTTTGGGTCCAATATTGGATATCCCGTACAGCTTTATTTCTTTATTCGTTAGAAACCTAACTTTCACACCTGCTGTCTTAAAGAAACTTGGCACTCTTTGTGCACAAACTTAGTGAGCATCTCACTCGCCTCCAAATATCATCGTTCCAGCAGTCCTAGGTTTACAGCGACGAGCGAAATAAATTTCCCAATCACAGCAATTAAGGTGGCGGCCGTCTTGTTTTTCAGAAAATTGCTCCAACTCCTTTTTTGGCTGCAACTAGAGAAATTAGCCCTAATAACGACTCAAACTCAATATATAAGAAGTGGAGAGCAGCTAAATGCCCTGCCCCAGCACTCATGCAACGTCACCCTCAACTTATCGGCTCAAAAAGCAAAAGTTTCGTCCGTGCGCGCTTCCGCCGCCACATTTTGGCATGCGAAAAGGCGCCGCAGGCTGCTGAACGCGCCTCACAGTCGAACGCCAGCTCCTCCGCTAGCGGCGCTGCGCGCGTTCTTCAAAGCGCCCCCTATAGTTCCCGCACGGAGTGTATAGAGGATGTAGACGCTGCTACTGAGCATGCGCACCGCTAGCTTTGCCTGCAGAACTCCAGGGATAATTTCAAGTCGCCGTGAGCTAGCGGGAGGGCGGGTGTGGTTGCAGCTTTTGCTTTTTTGTCAGCTTACAGGTGAACGGATGCTCCTATACTCTTTCTCTTGTTGCAGAACATGTTTGCAGACAATGTTTGAAAGCACCAAATTTCTTTCTACTGTTTTATTGATAAGTCTACGGGAGAAGTAACGTGAAAGTAATTTGTAACGTAACGAGCAAAGCAATACGTTTCTTTTTAGCGAAAGTAGTTTGCAACGGTAATCCATTACATTTGAGGCTCGGTAACTTGTAATTATAATCCATTACATTTTTGAAGTAACGGGGACTAGTCTGCTTTACGCAAGAGATCCAACACACTTACACAAAATATTACAGCCAACTTCTACGGGAATCTTATTCACATTTAAACGGCTCTTTCAGCTTCCTATTCAGTCTCAAAAGTTTTCAATATATTTTCTACAGACTTTTTGTCAATCGGCCATGAGTACGGACGCCATAAAGGCCATAGAATTTCTATCACCGCGCGTATCAATAGACTGTGTCGCCGTCTTTATATAAAAATTTCTATAAACTAGACTTGATAGAATAATAGGATGCAGTGCGGAGAAGCGATATAACACCCAGTTCGAACCTCCTTGTGGAGGCTGTTTTTCCGACCATGTCAAATAATTATCGCCTTCATCTAGTAACGCTATCATATTGGAGATACAGCTCACCAACCCTTAGAAACCACTCTTTGCATGATGTATTGACGAGGAAAAAAAGCAGCCTACATGCTAAACCTTTAATTAAACTTCTAGGGTGAACCTCGCTCGAATTATTGTCTTTCAAGTGTAGGGTGTATATGGCAGTGGAGCAGTCAACATGTCTGAATAACTGTTATGATTGCTCCGTGGCGTCATGTCTTCGCATGTACACAAGTCTTTCCAAGAATAAATGGTGGCAAACATAAAAATAATGGTCAGGATTTTTTTTTTTTTTTTGCCGCGAGAAGCTGTTAAATTGAGTATAGAAAAGGGATAGGAAACTTGTTAGAATGTTTTCTATACAGCTTATATCCAATCTCTATACACTAACTTCAATAGAAAGTCTACAAAAAAAAAAGTGGCCAAAGAGCTATGGACCGTGTATAGAAAATTGGATACATTTTTTAAAAATCGTTATAGCCTCTATAATCTTTATAAAGATTCCGTAGAATGTGGATAAATATGTTTTGTAAGGGTATACTAGCACGCAACGCCACTAACCAAGAGGCTTTTTGGTCACTGGGTAATTCCAAGAATAAAAGCGGGCGTTTGATGACGAAGTTGTAGAGGAGATTGCACTGTTGGCGTTGCAAACAACGCGATCTCCGAGGAGTTTATTATGATGCTTTGCGATCTCGCAGTGACGATGTTTATATGCCGCTCATACCAGTCTTGGGCAGCAACTAGTTACTAGTAAGGCGTTAGTAACTACATTTTTCAGTAACTTGCAACTGCAACTCGTTACTGCTTAGTGAAAGTAACTTGTAACTGTAACATGGTTGCTATGTTTCGAAAGAACTGTAAAGAGTAACGTCGTTACACTTACTTTTCAGATTTATGTGTAAAAATATTGCAAACACGACCACCAAATCATCTCGCAATTCGTGAGAGAGTCCCAAGTCCCGGTACGGGAAGGGCACAGCAAAAACTACTGCAGACCACGTCTGGAGCAAGAGGGGAAAAGATAAATAAAAATAATCTAAATTTTGGGTGACCCAGCCTGACCAAGCTGGTCCCGCCAACTAGGAGGATAGGGACGTTTGTGTCCCTACCCGCCGTGTGTGGCACATTACCCACAGCGCACGCAGATGTAACAAAGCGCAGCACCCCTAAAGCGTTTCTTTTTGCTGCGTCAGGCAAAGGGAGCGAGTGTTTTCCGCGTAGGACAATTTTTGGTGATTTGAAATAAGAGACATAACGCAGGCGAGCTGATGAACAATCATAATTAAAAAATAAAACCTTGAGACAAGGTAACAAAAAGAGGCATACACACCACCTTCTCAAAACCAGGACAGCATACAGCTGTCATTTGCTTCCACAAAGAAGACTGTTGTGGAAGTAAATGACAGCTGTATGCTGAGCTGCTTTTGAGACGGTGGTGTGTATCTCCATGTTTGTTTCCCTACCTCAAGGTTTTATTTCTTAATTATATTTTGGTGATTGTCGCCCCAAATGCCCGCAGGCTTACGGCACATCCGATTTTCGAACCTCGTCTCCTTGCCGCCAAGCACACGTTTCCTTCTCTAATTTGAATCGTCCAACTCCCAGTCCCAGATGCACTCTTGCGGGGTTTCGACTTTCGGCCCATTTTCTTTCCCTTCCTTTCTTGTACAACCCAATTACCGGCCTTGCCTCCCGTCACCCACTTCTTGTCCCTTCTCGGGTCCCGTCACTTGAGAAAGAGTATTCGCTCGAAACGTCTGTGTCGCTCAGCTTGCTTGTGTGTTTTATTGGAATTGAAAGACCGCCCTTAGCCGGGACCAGGGCCACTTGGCATCAGTTGATTTATAGATATTCACGTCGTGGGGTTTCCAGGTGGTCTCTCTTATTTCGGGTTGTGAGATGGAGGAGCACCAACGTGTTCGATTTGGTCAGCGAGTAGCCGAGGAAATATCGCAACAGCCGTTTGGGAACTCTACAAGCAGTGGTCGTTTGCACCTCGATCAGTGCTTATTTTGCACCGCTGCCGTGTTCAGTGGGTTTAACGGAGGAATGTTGCCGCAACATTGCTTTCCGTTTTTAAAAGAAGCTTCGTGTTTCATGAAATATTGTGCGCACGCCGTAGAAAACGATTCGACCAGATTCGACTGACGAGTGGATTGGAGTGGCATAAGAAAACATCTACAAACCTGATTGCAAGGTATCATTATATTGCAATAAATGCAAGTTATGATTTATATTATTGTTTACTTCACATTTCCACGATTTTTATTGCTTCCGTCCCATTTTGCCTCACCTAAAAAATCCAAAATTATAATCGACCGATTGCAAACTTGCACATTGATTGAATATACTCGAGATCTAGACGTGCGCTGTTGTATTCATGTATACCTTGTGGTGGTCGCGCTTATTTTAAAGCTCTTCGTGGATCATCAGCAGATATCTGCTACGTTAGCTGCGTTTCCTGCAAAAGACATTGCACACAAAAAAAAAAAAAAGAAAACACTAGCGCGTTTTATAGGTTACGAATGTCAATGAATAATTCTAAGCTGTGTTTACTAAAAGTACAAAAATTGTTCCGTCACCCCTTTAGATCGATTATTAATATTATTAGAAATTTCGAAATTTTGAGAAGGCGACCCTCGTTGGAAAAAATACTATTTGGATTTTACAGTAACTCGTATATGCTCCACGCTCCGCCAAGAACACAGTAGCTGTGCCTCCAGCATCCGCTTGTTACCTTCCGCAGGGCTTGGGCTTCACATGCGACGAGGCGTTAGCAAAGGCATGAAAGCTCGCTCTCAGCCTGTTCAGCACCCTTAATTCGAATAATGTGCACCCTTTTGAAGAGTAAAATAGGGTGATCTTGCATGAGCACCCTTCATTTTTGATTGTAGTAAAGAGGGTGCGGAAATGCTTGTTACAGCGGAGAAGGGGGGTGGGCGAGCTTACACCCGTTTAAAACAGCATTAGGAGGTTGTTTTAGGGCCATACGAACAATTATTGTCTATACTAGAGCTTTTGACTTGGAGATACATTCCTTTAGCTCTGAGGTATTATGCTTTACGTGAAATGTTCACGATAACGACCCAACATGTCTTGCAAGCTGTAGCCCCCCCCAAGTTGAGGGGTGTTCACCTGCAAACGAGTATCTTTAAACTGTCGAGTACCTGTAAAGCAGACAATAGGGGCGCGATTCCTCTCGTGCGCGATCTATCGAGTATTCCTAGCTTCTGCGCGGTTGCATGTGAAGCAAGTCGCTCGTAAAAATATTTCTCAGTTGCTTCTAGGCTCGTCGCAATCATATATTTTTAGGATGTTTGCTAGCACACTAAGGGGTGTTGCTCTAACACCCTTAAATGTTAGCTCCAGGAGAAGCGGGCTTACACCTTTTAGGGAGTGATTTCGCTTAGTGGGTGTCAAGCGGTGCAGAAGACGTTGAATATTTTGTTTTCGTCCTTGCGAGATAATCAACTGATATCAAAATGTAAACCAAAAAAAAAAAAAAAATGACACGGCTTACAACAACGGGTAACTGTCAATTACTTTTATTAGCAGAACTATTTCCACTTTTCATCCATATCTTGCAAACTTGCCAGGTCCCAGTCTGCCATATATTTTTAAAGACATCGCGAGGTGACAAAACGCGACAACACGCGAAATATGATTGCTCGTGAATATACGCTGCTCTCGAAACATATTTTATTATCTATTTTTTTTTTAACCGTTGGAAGCAGGAATATGGCAGTTTCTTTTTATTTGTTTCTATTAATCAAAAACGCGAAAGGCCGCTCGCGCTCCACAGATCCAGTTGCAACGGACGAAGCTTGCCCTCTAATCCGAACATGACGTAACGACAGGATACTCAATAAAAGAACAAACAAAACTATCCAGTGCCTCTACGGCGCACCGTCTGTTATAAACTATAACAACTAAAAACAAATGTATATGTACAAATCACACTAAAACAAGAACTCGTCTGCTTCTTGCACTAGTTATATAATCAACAAGCGTATATGGGCAGCTGCCCTAAAACGTCTCTCGTAGTTCCACAAACTTCGTGGAATAACGATTTTTTTCAAATTTTCATACTTCTTAAATAAACGAAAGAAAAAAAAAAAACACTTTGCCCCGGGCTATTAAACTACCAAACGCCGTGGATAGATTACACAAGGATAACTTGGGCAACACCTTCCAGATACAAAAAGCCCAAGTGCTAAATTTTTTTATCTGCGTCACTACGGTAGGCCACCGTAGGGAACAGATTGGACATTACCGAGTCAGGGGTCGGCAGGAACTGGTGTTCCCAATGACTGAACACGAGTTCCCTACGAACGGCCTTCTTTAGTGACGCAGGAAAACTCGGCACAAAGGCTTTCCTATCTAGGAGCTGTTGCCTTGGGCCGCTAGTCCGCCGTTATGAGACAGGGAGGTGGGAAGTTCCACAGATTGACCAGAGAAACCGGACACTCAATGAATTGCATGACACGCGAAACTACGAGACCGCATACAGTCGTTGGCCGCGCTTGTGGGCACCTCTACGGGAGAATGCATGCTGGACGTCGCCATTTTGAAGAATGGCGTTGAGCAGACGTCTGGACTATGACGTCGTTTTGGGGCATCGGGGGTAGATATTATTGCCCATGAAGCAACGAACGTCGGTCTCAAACAACATCAATCAGGTTTCATGCCTCTCCACACGCCTGCCTGAATGAACATTTTGTTGCAAGAATTTATACAAGTACGCTCGCTCTACTACAGGTCTTTGCAAACACACAGAAGCAGCTACGAAGCTAATCCAAGTCGTCTTATGTGATGATTCGACGTTCAGCTGTACGATTTAAGAACTAGCGCGATGTGGTAGAAATACAAATAAAGTACGCTATGTGAGAGTTCCGATGATTATCCCTTTCAAGCCCAAAACTTTACTTGAAATACTAGAGACCTACAAACCCTGACTTGGCATTCAAACACAGAAATCAAAATAACAGAAATCTGGTTTAAAAAGAAACTACACATCCTTTTCATGTTTTCGAAATATTGTCTGGGAGCAACATTGGGCATTTGCGGCGCTACTTCACATGAAACGGATGAAAACAGTTACATCTTTTTGAATTTTTCACAGTAGAGAAAGGTCTAAAAGAATTTGCAATATTTGCGCCGGTCTTTCTTCTCGCAGTTTTGAGGCCGGTGGTGCACGCCATCCTGCGTCACATCCACTGTCGGCTTTGGTTTTGAAAGATAAGTGGCCCGTTATGAAGATGCATTTTGATCCTCGACTGCTAGGACAGGTATCCTGGCCCACGCGACAGAGGGCGCTAAATTTATTGAGGAACATGTGGCCCGAGAAAATAAATCATTCTAGAGTTGTTGCTCCTGGGCAACGCTGGATATCGAAGGGTTACGTCAAATCTGCTCTACATTCTTCAGGGCCTTCTTTTTCGTGAAGCTGTAGGTTACCTTCGTCTGAACTTTTACTATGAAGGAATTCCATGAACTGTCTTATAACAGACCCTTTCCAGAATTCAGTGTGGCCACTTTGATGACCATCATCTAAAAAATGGCATGTTCTATACTAATGGTAGCCTTCTGTTTACTGATGAAGGAAGATGATGAAGATGCTCCTAAGCAGATGATTCGAGGCCTATACATACTAGACGTTAGCGCGACGTGAAGCAGTAATTGGATGCAAGAGCTGCGTAAGCATTCATTTCTAACTCGGGGCCCAGTCAATACGTTAGTAGCACACACTCGGCTTCAAAGCCCCTTCATGCATCGAATTTTATCAAGGAGTCTATGCGGGTTTCACCATCGACACTAAAAGAGATTGAAAAAGAACTGTACAGTGGAGCGCACATTTTCGTTTACCGTTGACTTGCGAAAGAGTAGGTGCCCCATAAAATACTGCAGACCACAGGTTCATTGCCGTCATTAGTACGGTAAAAGTTAAACTGCCAATTGAGTCACCAGATGGCACTGAATTCTGAAAAGGGTCTATTGCAGAAGATGTCTTATTTCTTCGCCTCCTGGAAACTGGAAAATGAAACACCGGGATACTCCATAAATGATAATCCAGATGAAGACTGTATGTTGGCTGCTCCACACTCCCTAAGTGTACTTTCCATAAAAACTAACAAACTTCTCATCTTCAACAGTTTGATAACTCTGGATATACTTTGTGTTGGCTGACACAAACTAACAGGAAACACTGCAATTAACAGGAAACACTCAGGTGCCAAGAAAAAATCAAGGATGATTGGGTTTTCCCTCTGGCCACACAGTATGAACACCCTGTAGGCCATTAATGTGGTAGCTACCCCATGACAAAGTAATGTTCAGGCCGGATGCATTGTAGAGGTTCTGAATGAACCAGACAAGTTCATTTCTAAAGCTATTATGCTGAGATTCGAGACAAGCAACCACACTGGTCCTGGGCGCCATGTCCATAAAGCTCGAAGGATGAGCCTATGCCTCTTTAGGATTCGGGAATGAAAAAAACTTTCTTGTTTGCAATGAAGGCTGTTGAGCTCAGCCTACCTAACGCCAAAGTCAAGATGAAAGAGTGGCTCTCTTCCATTTCCCGTCTTTTTTTTTAACTTTACTCTCGTCACTGAATTTTTTTTTTCATAACCCCAATAATATGGCAAACAAATGTTCTAAGAACATCACTTACGAAAGAAACAGTGACATATGTTTGGTTTCTACTCCCTGAAAGGTATACTGTTAGCTACTGTAGAGCCTGATGTTATAAAAAAACACTAAGAAAAACCAGTGAAGGCCAACAGTTAAATGATAACAATTAGACAAAGGCCATGGCTTTTACTCCTGCCTTTGAGCTTTCCAAATTGTAGACGGTGAAGAAGCTAAATTTGGGTAATTAAAATGCAACGTTAGTGCATAGTGCAATTGACTTTTCCCCCTAAACTTTGTAAAAGTTTGCTCATTCCCTCTCATACTGATGAAAGGAAAGTGAAGGAAATTATTTGCAGTGCTGTTGAAAAATATGTAGCTTCTGCTATCATAAAAAACCATTTAGTATGTATTTGTATGTTGAACCAACTAGTCCACCTTAATATACACAAGACCATTAACTCTTCATCGAAGTCAAGAAAAAGGTTATTGTGTTGGACACGCTTCAGTGTAATCAACTCATATTAAACAAATGTTTGATAACAAGCGGCGCCACTGAAGCATGGCTGGGTCAACCAATCAGTCTTTACCATGTCTGCAAAGCTAAGTTAACTAACTGTCTGCCTGGTTGGATTTCATGGTAACTGCAGATAGGAAAACTAGAGAGACAAATGGAGCAGCCTCCCGCCTTGAAGACAAGTAGGCCTAGCTGGAACACCACCCAGAAGAAAGCGTAATTCTCACATTTAACTTCAGGCCCAGCCTAAAGTAAGTTTTCCAAATTTCAAAATAAAAAGCCTACTGCTTCCATAAGCTTCCATACAAAAAAAGAAAATTTGGTGTGACAAGCTAAAAGAATGAACTTGAGTAAGACATTCACAAACTAACAATCCACCCGGCCGACCCGGTACTATGGGACAAAAACTTGTGCTTTCGACTGCAAGTCCACAGCACCAATCAGCGCAGTAAACATCTGGCTACGGACTGCGGCAATTTAGCTACAAAGTGCTCTTGTATTTTTGGCCCGTGTTTCCAGTGGCTTTACTATCCACGGCATTCGATAAAACAGACTGCCTTGGCGCAACCGCGCTATCGGACTACTCCATCTTTTGTCTTATCACAGACGGCTGCAAAAAACAACTCGATATACATAATCTTCCGACCAGCTACACGACGGTAGAAACAGCTCCACCAAATGCACTTGAAGTGGTCAACATGTTTGCGTGGATTAGTACTGCTGACTAACCCGGCACTTTGTAAAGCCCTCTCGACAACACCGTCCTTCTACGCACAGTAACGAACGCTGACTACAGCGTCAGCAAACCCCTAGCTTGCCAGGATAAAAAGAAAAAAAGAGATACGACGGTTTCTAAAATATAACATCACTAGATATGTCTCTGCAAACGTGTCTGAAACTTACGTCAAAGTAAAAAGGGAGTTTCCGCTGTTCACTCTTTTTTAAATAACTCGGTTTACGACATTCGTGCAGACATTCAAGGGTCAAATCATATGCCGCTCTGATCGATTGAAGAGATACAAAAACCTCCCGACACAACCATTTCATTTAACCGTAAACGCAACAGTAAAAAAAAAAAAAGAATCAATTTTGAGCTTTACTAAAATCAAAAACTTTCTAGAGGAGCGACTAAATAGCATGTCGTTGCAGACACGGACCAAAAAAAAAAAGAAAAACTCCCCAAAGTCTGCACAATCGCCTCGCTAAAAGAGAATGCCGAAGAAAAAAAAGAAGAAAACACTCAACAGGCCGCACTAAAGTAGGAGATTTTAGCACACAACTTTAGCACGCAAAAACCAAAACAAGACTAGAAGACACCGGCAAAGCATTGCCCTCCTCTCCTTTTGCCGGTTGTTGTCCGTGTGTGAGAGGGGTATGGGAGCTCAGAACAGTTCGCATTCGTTGTTGAACAGTCCCTTTTCGAAGGTCACCCCAAGGTCGTTTCAAGATCACACAGAAGTCACAGTCCAGAAAGCTTCCTTGTGGGTGGGCTGCTGTGCCTCAGCTCCTGCGTCCCCAGGGGAACACTGAAAATCAAAGTATTTGATACATTTAGCATGAGGTATACTCATATTTCTTCCTGGTTAGGTTAGTCTCAACGCCTGCTTTCAAGGTGAAGGCAAAAATTATTTGAATTCATGAAACTGCCATAGTGCCAGAGGTTGAACTATGTGTCAATTTGTCGCCACAATTCACTCACTGCAATCATGTCATGAGGTCTGCCCTATTGGTAGAACAAGCTCGCTCACACAACCATCGGATCATTAAAACTTAACATGTTTTCACACTAACACTCATAGATGGAAGCGAAAGCAAAGCTTTGACTCATACCCAACTCGTGCAAGTTTCCAGGGTTTACAACCTTACTAGGCAATTTGAGTGCAGGTGAGTGCTGAGAGCTGCACAACATTACAGTCATTCGTGATGCACCATCCAATATCCTTGGAACTGTCATCCTTCCACCACAGCAGCTAGCCAATAAAGAGAATGATTAGTGTAATTCATTAAAGTATTTCAGGTCACGCAGATGCAGCTTCGCTCCTCAAAACTCAAGAAAGCAAAAGCAGCATAAAGAGTTTGACGTGGTTCTACACACATTTAGAAACCACGGGAACAATTAAGTCGGCAATGTCTATCCCCACACTGCCTTCATCATATGCCCTATCGAAAGCAGACACAGAATTAAAAAGAAACACCATATAAACTTACTCATCTAACTTCACAAAAAATATTTTAAAAAATGTTTAAAAAAAAATGTCACCTGCTCAACAGTTGGCTTGTCTTGAGACATGTTAGGCAACAGACTGGCATCTTGCACAGTGATGTCCCGCATGATACCATCCCGCATGACGCCATTTCGCATGACGCCATTTCGCACGACTCCGTCCCGCATGACTCCGTCTCGCATGACTCCGTCCCGCATGACTCCGTCCCGCATGACGCCATTTCGCATACTGGAGGTCCGCAAGCTAGGAGCTTGTAACCCGGAAACTTGCAAACAGGAGACTTGCAAACCGGAGACTTGGGGTCCAGAGGCTCGTGGGGTGGTATCCTGGGGCTCCCCACGGCTCAACGAATTGGTGCGAACTGGTGCGGCTGGCAAACCGGGACTCCCGTCGCCGGCCGAAGGGGAGCAGCCGCCCGGCAGAACCGAGTAGCTGGTCGGAGGAGGGGGAAGAGCAGGAGGCGTACCAGCACGAACCGGAGACGAACCGGTTTCCCGCCGTCGAACGGGAGAACGTTCCAAGAGCTGCTCGTGGCTCCGGCTCGATGAGAGAGGTGGTGCACGGGAGAACCAGTGGCCGGAGGTTGTTGTTCCGAGCGCCGAACCGGAACCGATTTTACGGTCGTCGGGGTTCTGGCGCTGGTAGAAGAGTAGGTAGGCATCCCGTGCCATCAGGTCTTCCGGCGTTGCGGGGCGCACTCTGGCGTCGTCGAATAGGTACCAGTTCCCGTCCACTGGGTTTTTGCAGCACGCTGGAGCATGAAACAGAGAGACACCGACGAGCAGTCTAAGCTTTAACGTTCTTGCCTCTTTGTGGCCATTTTGCAAGAAAGTTTCTGGGTTGTTCACACTTCAAAGTGTGTGGAAGAAAATACAACGAAAAAAATCCCCGGCTTCTCGTCGTGTCCGGAAATGAACCGCGGCGGCAGCCGGGGCACTGCGCACCACTTTGTTTCAATTCTGCGGACTTATGTCCCACAGTATTTAGCAGACAGTGTTCAAGTGACACCTTGATGTTACAAGACACAATGATATCACGTGGCATGGTCACGTGACACTGAATTTCCGATGAATTTAGCGAAGAAATTGTCCCGCAAAATTTGGCAGAAAAATGGCAATGCAACGTCACAATTAGCCTGCCAAATATGGTGAGAAAATTTCTCTGCCAAATTTAGGGGGAAGCACCCTCCTCGACGCCACAGCTTTAAGTATAACGCGTGCGGGCTCCGCTGCAGAAACTCACCAGTAACGGCTGCGGCCTAAAAATAGCCTTGTCACATAATAGGCTCGGTGTATTGCTGTATTGAGAGTCCCCATTCGTAAAACGAGGACCTTGTCCAACGTGCATATGATGGCACAAAGCTGACAAAATGCAAGCCTCCCTTCTTTTCTATGCATCTTTCCTTTTCATCTCGGGAGGTGGGTGGAAAAGGTTTACAAGGAAGCCACGAGCCGGACTTGGATCCCCGAAAAACCGCACAAGGCTCACGAGCCGCGGTTTGGCCACCCCTGCTTTATAGCCAAAGGATTTTAAGCAGACGACGCGGAAACCTCCTCTTCCTACCGGAGCGCCCCAGGGTGTCGAACGCGCACGTCATGGGACAAAATCGTGATGTTTTTGGTCCTGACGTCAGCGGAGAAGAGAGAGCTGCCCCATTCCCCGGCAGCTCTATCTCCTCGGCCTCACCTCCTTTCCCCGTCTTTCTCTCCCTCCGTGGGCGTGGGAAAAGGGGGGAAAGAGGACCAAGGACGTCATGAAGGAGGTTATTTTTTGCTTGGTTTTGTAATTTTAATATGCCTATAACTTTTAAAATAAAGCGAATTTCGAGAAAAGAAAAAGTTCACCACGTTACTACGTTCAGTGCGCTCAGGTTTGGTGCAAATTAAAAAAACAGTAAGAAGTCGTTGCAGGATTCCTTTAAGGGTGCTTTAGGGAACCGCCTTGTTTCGTTAGAAGCCCAGTTTGAGAATCCAAGGTCGGTAGTCTGTACATCCATTTCCATCTCTGAAATAGCCATTACGGGCCGACACAACCAACGAGTGCAACGAGCAAAAACTAATTCGAGGTCCAGCTCCCCCGCCTCACCCGTGTAGTGCCCTCCCTGCAGGCCTGCCCCGTGGTGGCTGCACAGGGCGTACAGGTCGTACTTGGCCCCCCGAAGCCCGGACCCCTGCTGGCACAGGTGGGGCCCCAGGTCGAGGTCGTTCTGGGTCACCTCCACCCGCGTCGCCAGCTTGCCGTGGTGGCGTCCGCTCTGCGACGGAGACGAGCCTCTTGTTAAATTCGCACCGGGCCGACTGGCATTGGAGCCACTGAAGGAGCTATGCTTAGAGTACCACTAAGATTGTGACCTTCAACAGCAAGACATGCCGGCTCTCGAGATATAATCTGTTGCCATTTTGGTACACTGCTTTCGACGAACGGACAACACTGGGGAGGAGATCCTACCGTCGAGGCTTTAGCGGTGAACAACCACACCCATGGGGAGAGGTATGGGCAAAACACTTCCAAAAATGTATCGAAATACAAGTATAAAATACCTTAACAAAAATGTAGTTAATTACAAATCCAATTACACCTTTAAGAAAAGCATTTAAATACAAGATGCAAATACAAAGAAAGTGCTTAATTTCAAATACTTTTGCAAATACATTTTGGTCCCTTAGTCTCATGTGCTTTACTTAAATTTAACCACGAGTAAATAAAGAAAATGTGGCCATATAAAAAGTGAAGTCTATATATACCGAGCTCTTCAAATAATATTTGTTTGTCACAAGATAGGTGGGTAGAACGTCAGGAAACACACTATATTCAGCATGAGTTTAATCTCAAGAGTGCATCAATTTCTCCACTACCTTCATTTTTTTCCCTTTCTCAAGAGTTCAGTTTATACAGTGTAGACCGCATATAACGTATGTTGCGGGAGTCGCGGAAATCTGCACTATAAGCGGTACTGCGCTATAACCAAAACATCAATTTTTCAGGCCAACATACATGCCATGAGGTAACTTACCTTTGTAAAACAATTTATTTTATACTAGATGAAAAATAAAGCTTAGTTTGAGGAAAGTCGTTATTTCACCAGACTAGTACACTTCTCTCTCAAGTGTGTCACACATTTTGAAAGAAATGAGTGACTTTCGCCTGGCGCAGCCTTTTAACGGCGTCGCGGGTTGCGGACGGACGTTGTGAGCGTTCAGGATTGCTAACCCTAATCACTTTTCTCCGGTGATGAAAAGGCGTGAAAATTTGCATCCTTTATACGGTACGCACATGAAATGCTCTAAAAAAGGCATGAAATGCACGCATGAAATGCTCCAAATAAGAAATCCAGGTGATGTTCGAAAACACAAACGTTTAGAAAGCACCACTGTAGTCGAAGTAAACGAACACGGCGACACGGGCGTTTCTGCTGTCTTGAGAGTGCCGCCACGACATCGCCGCATGAGTAGGTGGATCTTCCCTTTTCGCACGTGCTGGGTTATCATAGCGACACACAACGAAAATTCACAGTCACGGATAGCGCTTTTACATGGAACGATAAACTTCCACTACGCCATCGACGTCTACGATCACCACCGACGCCATGTTTGCGGATAGAAGAAGCCGACCCGCGACCGGCATGCAACGCGCGCGAACGGCTGGTTGGGCTCGCCAACGCCTTGCGCCATGAACGACACGTGCGTGCGTCCCTCCGTCGCTATGGCAACTGAAGCCTCTCTCTTCGCTTTTTCGAAACCTCCTTGCCATCCTTGCCCCCGCGAGTGCCGCTTGCGGCTGGCGCCGTTATCTGTGTCACACAGGGAAGCGTGCTCGCTGCGCCGGTCGGCGCACTGCTCCAGAAACCGCACTATAAGCGGTGTTTCCCTTCGCGCGCCTGCATTTTAAGCGGTATGTAATTACATGGAGTTCTATGGGAGGCGAACCAGTGGTTTAAAAAAGCCGCGTTATACCCAGTCCTGCACTATAAGCGGTTACGTTGTAAGTGGTCTATACTGTACAAGAAAGCCTCTTCAAACACCTCGTTAATGCAAAGTCTCAAAAATTAAACCAGTGGACCAAAGATTTAATAATTGTACCCCTCCAGTTTACTCCCGATTCTACTCGTGTCACATCCAGCACTCGAATCTGATCCGTGCCAGACGATTGACCGAAGCAGACCATGTAAAGAAGGCAGTCCACAAGCCTCGCATTGGGCAAACGTAAAGCTCTATGGAAAACGAGGTAGACCGAGAACGCCCCCTATACTTGCAACCTCCTCACCAATGGGAGACGCCTAATGCGCCGGTCAAAGACCTTCCCCAGGCACCAGGCCCTCGCTTCCAGAGCTACAGGGCCCGTCCTGACCTGATGGAAGCGCTTGAGGTGGACCACCAGGATGTCTGGGCAAGAGGACAGTGCCAGCTGGGCCACACCCTGCTGCCTGCTCTCGCACTGCGGGCACAGCCATGCCTCGTCCGGTTCCAGCTGCGCAGAAACCGGAGGTACCGGTCAGGGCCAGTGCCGTGCCGATAGCGCTAACAGAGCTGAGCACGCTGATAGTGTTAACGAAGCTGGCACGTGATGATTCAGTTCAGCTTCTTCATTTTTCTAAGGAGGGAGGGGAGGGAACCTCGGAAAGGTCCTCGGTGCAAAGGGCGAAACCAGTCGGTCGCCTGACAGAGGCACAAGGGCCAGAAAAAATAGAAAGGAAGGAAACGAAACGTCTAGCGCTCGTGATAATTGAAACTAGGATAATTCATACTTCTGGTTAATTCAAACAAATGTGGATTTTTCGGTTGTTCCACTATGTTTTTAACATACTCATAAGTCGCCCAATTTGAACAGCATTTTTGTGTAATTCATACCTTTTGTTCTCGCGGCCCCATTGAGTGCGCCTCTCTTCGAGTGCCGGTGCACTGCAGAGAGGCGACACCCACGGAGCTTAATTCTGCGGGTGTTGCTTCTCCGTGGCGCACCGGTGCTCGGTGAGAAGCGCACTCAACGGGGCTCAAGCGGGCAAACGTGAGCTATGAAAACGGGCACCATGCGGAAATTTCCATAGCAACTTGCGCGGACGCTGTGACGTGGCGGCATGGCGTAGGTTAAAGTAACAGCATCTGGGCAAGTTGCTTTGAAAACTGCAGCGTGGTGCCCGTTTTCATGGCTCACGTGTTCCGTGCTTAACAGTTAATATCAGACAACTTTTTGGCTTGACGAACAAATTTAATTTTGCTTCGAGTTGTCACGTGCTGCCTAAACAGTCCATAATAAACAACATTTTTGAGGGATAAATAAACTTATCTCACACATTTCACAAATGTTTCATATGTGGCATACCTGCTTATGATCAGTAGGCCTAGTAGAGGAAATCATTAAATGTCTGCTTTGCATATGTAGCCATTAATATAATTTCAAACTTCTGATGATTCAAACATATTCGTGGCTTCCTGGAGACTGAATTATAAAAGTCTACTGTATGCAAAAAAAAAATATTGCTAGCAAAGTCAGTGCATGCTGATCACACTAACAAAACAAAGCATGCTGATCCTATCAACACAGCCAAGCATGCTGAGCATATCAACAAAGCCAGCACGTGCTGATCTTGCCAACAAAGTCAGTTCATGCTGATCACAGAAACAAAACTAAGCATGCTAATCACACTAACAAAACTGAATATGCTGATCACGCTAACAAAGCTAAGCATGCTGATTGCACTAACAAAAGCTAAGCATGGTGTTCACACTAACAAAGCTAAGCATACTGATCACACTAACAAAGCAAAGCATGCTGATCAGATCAACAAAGCCAGAAACCGACGCAAGACCTCACCTTCTCCTCGGTGAAATAGAAGTCGAGGCAATCGGAGAGGGACACTGAGGGCGCCGACTCCTGTTCCATGGACACGTCCGCACCTTCTTCGGCGATCGAATCCTCTGCGAGGAAGAGTCTGCAAAAGAACACGAAGAACTTCATATTCCTCCACAAGAAACACAAAGGAAAACTTGTTTGCATTCAAAGCGCAAGACAGAAAATAAGAGAGCATAAAAAAGCCACAGGGATGAGTAGAAGGAATACACAGACACGACACTGAGTAACATTATTGTCGTTGGTAAGGGCGGAGTCTGCATATTCCCTGAACTTATCCCAGTGTGTCTCTCTTGCATTGTCTTATTGATTGTAACATTAACCGACTTGTCCCAGATTAACTGTCCATGCTCCGCTTGCATCGCAACCGTCTTAAATTTTGGACTTCAAGTATAGTGGGAAAGCTACTGCTGCTCATGCAGGATATGCGACGGGTGCGACGACGTGAGATGGGGATTCACCGTGCACGCTCCGTCGTGCGTCTCCCAAGTCCCTCGGAAGCGTGCACGAGTGTGCGCTGTATCGTCGGTCATTGTTTTAGATAGATAGATAGATAATTTTATTAAGTGGCTGCCAACAGCCAAGTGGCCTGGGTGGCACTGCACTGTGAATACAGAAGATAAATGCATGTTTCTCAAATAATAAAATCAAACAAAAAAAAATGAAAGCCGTTTACAATTCCCTGTAACGCCGGTTAGAGCGCAGCTCTTGAGGAGGAAGATGGAAGCGCACTGAGGAATAGGAGACTCCTTGAGGTCACGTGACCTCAAGGGGGTCACGTGACTTCAGGGGCTCACGTTACTTTTGGGGTCACGTGACCTGAGGGGGTCACATGACCTCAGGGGGTCACGTGACCTCAGGGGGTCACGTGACCTCGGGGGTCACGTGACCTCGGGGGGTCACGTGACCTCGGGGGGGTCACGTGACCTAGGGGTGTTACGTGACCTCAAGGGGGTCACGTGACTTTAGGGGGTCATGTGACCTCAGAGGGTCACGTGACCTCGGGGTGTCACGTGACCTGGGTGGGTCACGTGATCCCCTTAAGGTCACGTGACCTCAAGGGGGTCACGTGACCTGGATGGGTCACGTGACCTCGGGGGAGGTCATGTGACCTCGCGGTTACGCCGACGGCGACGCCGCTCAAGCCGGAAACGGGCCCTTAAGAGCTGCACTCTAAAATGTCATAGTCTAAAAACAAGGCATTATAGGTTTGTTACAATCGTGTCGTCGGAGAGATTGATCACATGTTAGGATAAAAAGTGTCTCGGCAGCTGGATGACCGCCCAGGGGGCACACAAAATCTCAAGGCCATCAACAACTCTGAACAGTCAATAGCACCATGAACAACCTGATGTAACAAGTGCATATCTCTAGCAATTCCTCTATCATGCAGAGTTAAAAGGTTGAGGACCACCAAAAAAAAGTTGTAGCCATAAAAGCGGCTACAACTCTCTGCCTGCTTGTGCACACGGTCACCTTGAAATGGCACTTGAATTACCGTATAATTGCGTGTAAGGGCCGCACCCGTGTAAGGGCTGCACCCCTGTATTTATAGTGAAATATTAGCAAAAAAAGATTAAAAAAGTATTGGTGTATGAGCCGCACCCCCCTTCTTTTGAGGCTCGCTAGCCGCGCCGCGGCAGTCAGGTTCGTCTTCGCGGCGTGGTGAGCGCGGCTTGCTCCGCTTCCCCGCTTATCTTTGCTGCTGCCTTGTTGCTCTGCTCTTTCTCCGCTTACGCTCTTTCCACATTGCTTTGCTCTCCTCCTCGCAACGCAGCCACAGAACAACAGCGAACACGAGTAGACACGCACGGGAGGCGGATGTTTAGCAGTTCGAACGCTGCTGATTCACGCGGCGCAACCACGCTCCGCAGTTTTTCTTTCCAACGTTCCCTCCCCACAGCCGGAGTGCAATGGGTAAACACTTGAACAGTTATACGGCCGGCTTTAAACTGAAAGTCGTAGCCTATGCCCTTGACCACGGTAAACGTGCTGCTGGTCGTCAGTTCGAAGTTGATGAAAAGTGCGTGCGACACTGGTGTGACCAGAAGGACGCCTTGGCCAGCACGAGCAAGACCAGGCGCGCACTCCGTGGCAAGCCCTGCAAGTATCCAGAGTCGGAAAATGAATTATTTAACTATGTGGTGGAAGTGCGCAACAATGGATACGCTCTGTCGACGGACATGTTAAGAATGAAGGCGCTGGCACTGGCACGTGTGAAAAACATATTTTCAGACTTCAAAGCGAGTGCCGGTTGGATTCGGAGGCTTATGAAGTGGAAAGACCTCTCGATTCGTCGAAGAACGACCATGTGCCAACGGCTTCGCGCAGAATACGAGGACAAGCTGCTGAGCTTCCAAAAGTATGTCATTGAACTGCGCAAGGAACACGGATACATCCTGTCGCAAATCGGCAACGCCGATCAGACTCCCGTTTGGTTTGACTCGCCGGAAAACTGCACTGCGAATGCCAAAGGGCAAAAAAGCGTGCTCGTGCGTACGACTGGAGCAGAACGCCAGCGCTGCACCGTAATGCTTTGCATCACCGCGGATGGACGGAAGCTTCCGCCCTACGTGATTTTTAAAAGGAAGACCCTCCCTGCCAAAGAGTTTCCAAGCGGCGCCATAGTCCGTGTTCAAGAAAAGGGTTGGATGAACGACGAACTGGTGGTGGACTGGTTTAAGAATGTTTGGGAGAACCGCCCTGGTGGAATGCTGGTGAAGAAGTCCCCCCCTGTGCTGGACAGCTTCCGTGGGCATTTGACTCCCAAAGCGAGGGCAGAACTGCACGAAGCCCACACGCACTTGGCCGTCATACCGGGCAGACTTACTGGCATGCTGCAACCACTCGATGTCAGCGTAAATCGGCCCTTCAAGGTGGAGTTTCGCCATTGCTACACAGAGTGGATGGCCAGCGGAAACCATGAAAAGACGCCGACTGAACGGCTCAAAAGAGCACCTCTGGCGACTGTTGTCAAGTGGATCCTGGACGCCTGGAATGCTGTCTCCCCCGACACCGTGTCCAAAAGCTTTAAAGTGACGGGCATCTCGAACAATCTCGACGGTACAGAGGACGACTTCGTGTGGGAGCGCGCCTCCGAAGAGCCTGACCAGTCAGACACCGGCGCCGAGGACAGCACGAGTGACGATGATTGAGTCTCAAATAAAGTGTGCTTGAGACCAATACGTCAAACCACAAGTATATTAATTTTTTGATGTGCGTAAAACGTTTTTTTTTTTCATTCGTGTATGGGTTGCACCGCGAAAATCGACCCTTGAATATGAAAAAAAAATGTACGGCCCTTACACGAGTTTATACGGTATACGAGGAATGCAATTACACGTGTCCAAGTGGCACACACAATGTCCAAAGGTTCAAGAAGCTTACTGCTCAGCAGCCTTCACTCTAAGACCAGCATTTCACAAATGCAAAGCAAAAAATATGCCCCACCTTAAGAGGGCGCGGTACCTCTATTTATTCGTCCGTTTCAGCCACCAGATGGCGCGCGGCTCGAAACGTGGTTGAACGCGCAACTTCTAGATGGCGCCAGTATCGAGGTGTGAAAAGGCCCGCGTTATCCGCTGCGTGAAATAGATCCCGAAATCTGCCGTGTTCTCCCGGCGGAGGAAGTTTCTGCATCCCTCGCGCGCGCTTGGTATGTACGCGCGGTGACCGAGTCCGGCCTCTGCGCTGTGTGATGCAGTGGGTGGCGCTCGTTTCTGTTCGGAGGTAGGAATAAAAATGCCGGTCCCCTTTTTTACGACGCTCGTTTCTATAGCTTGTTTTTCTTTTTTTTTTTATCTCAAGTGACCTACAGTACCGCCTGTTCGAAATCGTCCTTTGCGGTGAGCGATTGAGAATCAGGTTAGCATTTTATTTGGGTCAGCACTACACGTTTAATGGAGACCTCGGGCGGCGATGTAAATATGCATTGCTTCCCAAAGTGTGTCCAAGGTGCGCAATGACAATTGGAAAGGGTATTGAAGGCGCGCGACCGTCGGTTGGTAAAATACGTGCGTTAGATTCACTTATTCAGTCTAATCATTTTTGCCAACGTCTTTTATCTGTTTCGACAAATGACATGGTCGAGTCTATTGATAACCTTAGCTAGATTGGACGTACGGAGTGTCCGGGCTTTAAATAAATTTGCTTCGTTTATGTGAATGAATAACTGTTTTCTCTTTTCCGTGCTTGGTGCTATGCAAAAATCGCTGAGATGTTATGGTAGCTCAGTGTGGCGGCGTTTTGCACGCTGACTCGCTATTGCATTCGCTGTGCACAATATGTGTTCAGATGGAATGTGCCAAATCGTATTTCCGATCGATATGATAGATTTACTTTGCTACAGTGTTAATTATATTTTCCTGATTTAAACTGGTTCGTCCCTGATCTGAGCCTAAGTTTAAATTCGAAGGGCAGACAGACTTAGCGTCGTAACAGCCGTAATGCGCAGAAAGAAATTAGTACCATGAAAGAAAAACAAAAGGATACGAGGTGGCTCAGTGTTATAGAAGTAATGAGTGTGCAAAGGATGGGATACGGTCCATTCGTCACATGCACACTCGTCACAGGACGATTGGTCACAGGACGATTCGTCACACAGGAACATTCGTCATAGGATGACTCGTCACGCGGCCAACCGGTCTCACAATAGTTCGTCCCCCCAAAAATGTATTGTTCAATTTGGTTCGGGCGGACAAAGGCGAAGAATTTGTAAGGAACGTTTTAGCTTCTGATTCGGTCCCGAACATTGAATGTTGGTTGGGCCTCAGAAAGTCGGTCACCTCTTATCTTAGCATGTCTTTCGCTTCTCGAGGTCAAAGAATTTGTAACAGACGTTCTAGCTATCTGGGTCCGTCCTGAACGGTGAATGCGGAGGCCATAGAAGAGCGACTATTTTTGAACTACATTCAAAAGGATGGAGGTGATCGCAACAGAGAGAGCCATGATGCTGCACGAGGGGTACTCATACACATTCGGCAGAAGGAATTCCGATACTTGTTGGTTTTGTCGGATAGGTGTATGCAAGGCAAAACTAAAAACTAATTTGGCTGCCAGTCGGATTATTGCTCGTTCAAGCCT